CTTTGGAAGGCTGAGGCGGCAGGTCACCTGAGGTCGGGAGTTTGAGACCAGCCTGACCAACATGGAGAAACCCTGTCTCTACTAAAAATACAAAATTAGCTGGGTGTGGTTGTGCATGCCTGTAATCTCAGCTACTGGGGAGGCTGAGGCAGGAGAATCACTTGTACCCGGGAGGCGGAGGTTGCCGTGAGCCGAGATTGCGCCATCGCACTCCAGCCTGGGCAACAAGAACAAAACTCCATCTCAAAAAAAAACTAGGAATAAATTATTTCTCAAGTCTTTTAAAATTTCATGAGCTTAGAGAAGACACCCAAAGAGCTCCTATACTCTGGCAGAAGGTATATTACTAAGCCAAGGTTTCAAAAACCTATAGGCTTCAAAGAATGGGATATCCATATAAGGCAACACCCATATGAAACTCAACAGCCTTCCAAATCTGTCCCTGGCCATCACGAAAAAACGTGTGGCATTTCCCTGGAATCTGACAAGATAGGAGCTCCAGATCTGAGGTAACGACATTCACTAGCCTCAGTTACCCTCTATTATTTTAGTTGCCTAAGTGTTTCCTTGCTTTGCTGTACTGTACAGAACACACTACATTCCCAAGAAAGGCAAAGCAGTACCCATTATTGCAAGATTCCTCTAGAAGGAAAAACTTCCACCACACTAATCTGAGAGACTTAATGAAAGGCATCTGCTACTAAAATCGGAAGCATAACTTATTCATTCAACAAATATTTACTAAATACTCTGTGCAAGCCTCTGAATATTCAATAGTAAATAAAAGAGGTATGGTTCCCATTTCTGCAGAATAAAGTTCAGTGAGACAGACACTAGACAAGCAAACAAATATGTAATTACAAAAAAAGCTATGAATAGGGTAACCTAATCTATACCTGTTGTCCCAGTGTAAAATAAAAGCATTCCCCTTTACTCTCAAAAATGTCTCAGGTTGGACTACAAATGATATGGTCACCTTAACTGTGAAGGACAAGGTACTATGAGAGAGAATAACGCAGGCAAGTTACTTTAGCCTGGGTGATCAGAGAAGACTTCTTGGAAGACATGCCATTTAACTGAGTCCTGATGGGTGGTAAGGCTCCAGTCATTCTGGAAGGAAAAATGTTCCAAGTACACGGGACAGCACAGGTTATGACAGGGCTTGGGTCATTATTATTGATCAACATCAATTTTGACTAAATAAACGGAATTGTCAAAAAAGTGACTTAGAGCCAGGCATGGTGGCCCACACCTGTAAACCTAGCACTTTGGGAGGCCAAGGCAGGCAGATCACTTGAGGTTAGAAGTTCAAGACCAGCCTGGTCAGCATGGTGAAACCCCGTCTCTACTAATAATACAAAAATTGAGCTAGGAGCGGTGGCTCACACCTATAACCTTACCACTTTGGGAGGCCGAGGCAAGTGGATTGCCTGAGCTTAGGAGTTCAAGACCAGCCTGAGCAACACAGTGAAACCCCGTCTCTACTAAAATACAAAAAATTAGCCAGGTGTGGCAGTGTGCGCCTGTCTCCAAAAAAAAAAAATTTGGCCAGGCGTGGTAGAGCACACCTGTAGTCCCAACTACTCCAGAGGCTGGGGCATGAGAATCACTTAACCCGGGAGGCAGAGATTACAATGAGCCGAGATCGCGTCACTGCACTCCAGCCTGGGCGACAGAGAGAGAGACTCTGTCTCAAAAAAAAAGGCCGGGCGCAATGGCTCAAAAAAAAAAAAAAAGACTTGGGCAGGTGCGGTGGCGCATGCATGTAATCCCAGCTGCTCAGAAGGCTGAGGCAGGAGAGTCACTTGAGCCTAGGTGTGCAAGTTCAACCAAAGCAAGACCCTGTCTCATACATACACACACAAAAGTGACTTGGGGGTTCCCAGAGATCAACTTGTATGTGCAAAATTAAAATATGCTAGGCATGTAATTGTTAGAACTCAAAATTCAAACATAAAGACAAAAAAGAACCCTTAAGACAGTGGCTTTCAAACTTTTATAAGTCATGAAACCCTCCAAGAATCTGAAAAACACTTCAGATCTTCACGCAGAAAATGCATATATTCACATATGCACACATCCACATATACACAATTTGAAGACGTTCATAGGCAATGCTACCACCCAAACCCCAGCACCACCAGAAGTTCACAATGAACTACAAGATTTAAAAAGTCCTCTTTCATTAAGGCAGAAGCAAGCTAACTTATTTGGGAGTTAAGCTATTTCTTAAGATTTACTGACAACATCCAGGAATAAAGAGAAAAACTAAATGTATATATTTTTAAAAAGATACCACAACAATTTTAAGTCCCTTAAAAACAATGAAAAATAGACAACAACGTATCACCAAGACTCAATGAGACTAATTTTTCCCATCATTTTAGAAAGCTAGAGCTGCCCTTTAATTCTTACCTTACTAACATTGAGTGAAGCTAGGGGAGGAGGGGTTTCTGTTCGGTCATTAATTATTTCCACTTCTGAAACATACTGTAAGTTTATGAGCAAGATGTCTGCATGGTTGGGCTTTCCACTGGAAGAGGGACATTCTGGTGAGAAAAAAAAAGTTAAGGAAAAATAGGACAAGCAGAGGCATTGACACATCCCAAAAGGGGCATAGAAAACACAATTCACACAAGGCTTGTAAAAGGCAGGCCAGGAGCATGAAGGCCTTATAAGAATCACAGTTCTCCTCAGGAAATCTCTGCCTGTCACCTTCCTCCTGCCCAAATCCTTGGAAGCTTCCAAAGGAGTTCGTCACCTTCTCTCTACTGGCTTTATGGGGAGGCATAACACAGATTTAATGTGTTTGTCTTAAACCTACGAGTCAGACAAAAGAGCTATACCTTTCTGTTCTTCGTATAATACTCTGTATCTGCACAGTGTTCTTTTTACTCTTTCAGATGTGAGCTTTCCCATTTTGCAAAGGAGAAAACTACACACTGGAAAGGAAATTCACCCAAGGTGACCCAGCCAGTTGATCCATTCATTCATTCACACATTCATTCTCCAAACATGTAAGAGCCTACTGTATGTCAACTAAAAATTGAGTAATTCAGCCAGGCGCAATGGCTCACGCCTGTAATCCCAGCACTTTGGGAGGCTGAGGCAGGCGAATCACATGAGGTCAGGAGTTCGAGACCAGCCTGGCCAACATGGCGAAACCCCGTCATTACTAAAAAAAAGTTAGCCGGGTGTGGTGGCACATGCCTGTAATCCCAGCTACTCTGGAGCCTGAGGCAGGAGAATCACTTGAACACAGGAGCCAGAGGTTGCAGTGAGCTGAGATCGTGCCACTGCACTCCAGCCTAGGTGACAGAGTGAGAC